TTTTTCAGAGACACATAATTTTCCTGGAAGACTTGCTGCAGTGTCATTGGCAACCTGGCCTTTCTTGCTGGGATGTCTAGGTTAAAACTTGTCAGAGCTCAGAGGGGAGGAAACGTCATTCATACCCAATGGATGTCTTTTGGGTGCAGTTAGGACATTCAACCCAGTTCCTAGCGGATCCCTCTGGGCACCAAGGCCCAAATGAAGGGCAAGATCTATTTACCAATGGACCCCAAAGAGGGGCCTTCCAGTTAATGTTTAAAAGGGCCATAAGGAAGAACAACCTCCGATCTGCGTAGCGTTTGTGGCTTTCAAAGCATTTTCTTATACACAGTGTTCATCTCGTCCTCACAACACTCCAATGCGTTAGGCGACAGCACTTTATTCTAGTGTACTGGTGAGAGATCTGAGACTTTGAGATGTTAGGTGACTTGCCCGATGTCATGCAGCTATTACGTGACAGAGCTGGGATTGAAGCCCAGGCTTTTCTAGTCCAAAAACCATGCTCTTTTTAAACCGTTTTTAAAATCTGAGGTGTAGGTAATTTACAGTTTGTATTAGTTTCAGGTGTGCAGCAGAGTGATTCAATTATACTTACATACATTGTTTTCTAGATTCTTTTCCATGATAGGTTACTACAAGGTATTGAGTAGAGTTCCCTGTGTTATACAGTAGGTCCTTGTTGTTTATCTATTTTATACACAGTCGTGTGTATCTGCTAATCCCAAACTCCTAATTTATCCCTCCCCATCCCCTCTGGTGACCATACGTTTGCAAAAGCCATATGCACTCAACGACCACACTTACAGTTCCTCACGGCTAGGTGCACACAGCTAATACATGTTAGGACAAGACAGAATCTTTTCATTCAAGTTTGCCACATACTGGCTGTTTACCAGGTAGTTAATTCAGCAGCTCTCTTTAACAGCCCATTCCTTACAAGAAAAGGGAAAGTAATGGATCTAGTCTCTCAAATATGAGGCTTTTCAGATTGTTACCAGTAGTAGTAACGATGACGATGATCCTGATGACGGTGATGATGTAAAGTAGTGAGTACTTACTATGTGCCAACTGTAGTGTCGAACGATTTGGCCTGTATTCACTCACTTAGTCGCTGAACCCTCACTATGACCCAGTGAAGTAGGTGCTGTTGCTCCCTCTGTTACCTCCGTTTTACAGATACTTGGGTCTTTAGCCCGAGGTCAACCAGCAAGTGGCAGAGCCAGGATTCAAACCCACCTATGCTCGCTCGCCCACTCTCTTCCATGGCGCCGCACTGCTGATGTCCAAAGCCACACGGACACAGCTGCTCCCCAAACAGTCCCAACCGAGGGAGCAAAATGCAACGGGCCACGAGGAGAGAGCACGCAAACTTTTAACAAACAGTTTCAGGGTACAATCACCATGGCTTTTCCACTGAAACTATGGGCATATGTGATTGTGCATCTCTGACTTTAAAGAATCACCAGAGAGTAAAATATCTTGTTAAACATATATTTTACATCCCCGAGTCTCTATGGCCGACCATTTGGCATCTTTAATTTGTATATTACGCTTCTCCCCTTCAGGCTTCCTGCTGTATTTTCCCGTTTGCAGGAATAATACTTAGCATTTAAACACATCCTAATTGTTCTATTGGTGTCTGTGCACATGACCCGCTCAGCATGGCCAATACTGCCGTCGGGGGTGCTCGTGGTGGGGCAGGGAGAGGGGAGAGTGTTCTGACTACCAGAGACTTGGGACTGAAATGTCAAATTAGAAACTGACACATCTCGACCCCGTGTTTCACTTTCATACGTGCATTTGCAATGCATTCTCTTTATGTTGTGAACCATAGCATTAGGTCTTAAGAGCTCTGGGGAAAACATTGGTGTGTACTCACCAAATCTGGGCAATTTGGGTGCAACGATTATGCATGAGATGATCTGAGGATGTCTCCAGAAAGCTAATGGCTTTTTTATTGAACCACATGTGCCTGAATGTAGCTACCAGGTTCTGAGAACGTTTCTAAGTATAATGACGGCTCAAACCAGTGGTGTGGTCTGGTCCCTTGGACACATCATTTATCGTACCAATGCATTTGTTCGGATGCTTTTCCCTCCAATCATCCTGCCACGAAGAGATGTGGCCGGAGATGTGATGGTGCCAACTACAAGATGAGAGAATAGTACCATATGACCTATGCGGCACCATGTTATCTCACCTGAAAAGAAAACGGTTTTGGTGGTTCCTCAATAAGTTAAACATAAATTACCATAGGACCCAACAATCCCACTTCTAGGGGGAAGAATCAAAAGAACTGGAAAAAATTAAAAGATTCAATTCAAAAGAACTGAAAACAGGTGTTCAACAAAGACATATACTGTATACACAAAGGCTCATAGGAACTCTATTTGCAAAGCCAAAAGGTGGACCCAAATGTCCATCAACTGATGAATGGATGAACAAAAGGCAGCATATATCCATATGACCGAACAGTATTTAGCCATAAAAAGGGAATGGAGTACTGATCCAGGCTACACCTAGAAAACGTGATGCTAAGTGAAAGAAGCCAGACACCAAAGGTTACAATATTGTACGATTTCATTCAAACGAAATAGGCAAATCCATAGAGACAGAAAGTAGATGAGTGGTTGTCCAGGGCTGGGGAGTAACTGCTTAATGTATGATTTCCTTTTGGGGTGATGAAAATATTCTGGAACTGGTGTTGGATCCACAACCTTGTGAATGGACTAAATGCCACTGAATTGTAGACTTTAAAAGGGTGAATTTTATGTTAGGTGGATTTTACCACCACGACAAAAAAAGGAAAATGGTGTCAATCCACACACATTTGAAAAAGAATACTGGGCTTCAGAAAGCCAGAACTCACCAAAACTTGCTGTCACTGTGGCTTGTGCTACAGCAAAAGCATTCTCTCCTGGCCTTTAGCCTTCGGGCTTTGTAACTAGTCCTGGAACTCGAGGGCTCATTTGCGAACGTTTATAACCTTGCTCCCGCTTCTTGCTAACTGGACCCAGCTAGGGGGAAGGAAGCTGTCATTTTGCCTTACCTCAGATATCCCAGTTCAACCTCCCCTTCAAATGAGAAGCTCTGTGGGGAAGGCGTGGCAGGCTAAGGGCCGCGGGCCACAGAGAGCTTCCCACTCACCAACCGGGATTACCTGAGGGCCTCGGCATTGACACGGTCACCGCATACATCCTAAACCCCCAGATGATTCAGGCCAACTGACCTGATGCCACTTCTTCAGGTAAATGCAGAAAATAACAACTCGAGAAGCCAGAAAAGGAGACTGCACTTGTGTAATCACACAGAGAAGACGTCAACATGCAAACTCTACCTTCACTTACTGTTGATGACTTGCTTGAAGCATTTTCATTAAAATGTCATCTTGCATCTGTCAAAATCAATGACCTAGGACTCGGGGGGAGGGGTTATTTACCATTATAATATTCTCTCTCTCTTTTTTTTTTTTTTTTTTCTATTCAGTAAGAATAAATCCTAAAGCAAAATGCTCTATTTCCTTCATAGAAAAAAAGACCTTAAGAAGGCTAAGGCTCCCTTAGGCTCTTAGTTGGGCCTGCCGAACGCCCTACGGCAGCACTGTATGTTAGAATTTCTGCAGTGATGAAAGCTTTTAAAATCTTTGTCAAATGTGTCTAATAAGCACTTGAAATGTGGCTAGTGTACAGGAATGGCAGACACGGGAATTTAGGTGTGCATTTTACATTTGCTCTGGAGTCCATGAGCCAGGTGGGAAAGGGATTGCTTGCATTCAGTAAACGTACCACAAGCCCCCTGGGAGACGACTGTGTTTGTTCTTGATAAAGCACCAAAGTTGCAAAGATGCAATTTCTACATATTATCCAAAATGCAAGCAGAATAAAGCAGAAAAAGTACTCAATTTTAAAATTACGCGGAATATGGTAGGAGTTCTCGTGCGGTCAACAACTGTAGACGAAAATGGAGTAGATGGAATTCTCTATCTGTTAACTATCTTGAAACACTAGTGCATGAGCATTCCTTGAAACACCCTGGTTTCAGTTTTATAACTTAGATTTCACGGCAGAAAGAACATGGTCAGGTATTGGCTTTAAAAAAAGGCTATCCTGGGCTTCCCTGGTGGCGCAGTGGTTGAGAGTCCGCCTGCCGATGCGGGGGACGCGGGTTCGTGCCCCGGTCTGGGAAGATCCCACGTGCCGCCGAGCGGCTGGGCCCGTGAGCCGTGGCCGCCGAGCCTGCGCGTCTGGAGCCTGTGCTCCGCAACGGGAGAGGCCACGACAGTGAGAGGCCCGCGTACCGCAATAAAAAAAAAAATTAAAAAAAAGGCTATCCTTCTGTGTTCCTTATTTGAGGCTCTCAGCACACCCAGGAGGACCCCACACGCGAGACAGTTTTCTGTCCCAGAGAAAACACATCAGCATCACTGATATCACACACTACACTGCCATTCTCACGATTCATACATGATACCTGGCTTTTTCAAATCAAGAGGTGCAGGCTCATTGGAAATGCTGAAAACACACATTCTTGCCATCTAATTTGGTGGTAAGTACTGTAAATACTTGTGATGCAGAATGGAAGAAAACAGGGCGGCAGCAAGTTTGGCCAAATGCCTTTTGCCTGAAGGTTCATGTGAGCCGCAAGCTGCTGGGCACTGACGGCCAGCTGTGTCCTGAAGTGGCACCCCTGGGAAAGGTGAACGGAGCAGTCACGTTTATACCCTAAGGAATGAATGAATGAGTGTGGCCGCTAGGCCTCGTGGTGGAGTCACTACGGGAAAGTTACACCGCACTCGAGACCACACTCAGTCCAGGAGAGGGAAAGACGTGAAAGTGTGAGCTGATTCGACCTGTTCCAGAGGACTGTGCCTGCCCTTGCTTCTCTCCCTCTCTCCGGAGTTCACAGACGAAGCGCGTAGGCTTCCGGACGGCAAAACCATTCCAGGTCCTCTAGCTCCCTCCCCGTGGGTCCCAAACCGAGCCCTAAACTGTTCCTACCTGGTAGAGCTCAGTGGCAGTGCACTGAGTGGTCAAGGTCTTCACGGGTTCAAGGTCATCTTCATCGCTGCTCAGCTTAAGGTCGTCTTCAAGCATCCTACAAAAAAAGCCGAGTGGCACTGACGTTAAAAAGCGTCTTTTCTAAAATCATCCTCAGACACATCTTGCGACGAGGATAAAATACTGGAGCTCCAATCTGACAGCTGCAATTCTGTCAAAGGTGCAGAGGGAACGGAGATTCTTTCAGCTAATTAGATATTTGAGCTCTTATATTTCCGTCAGACTCTGCACACATCCTGCCTCTCTACCTTCCCCTAAATCAAGGGGGGGGGGGGGGGGGAAAGCACTATTTCAGCATCTCCAGAGATGACTGGAGTCTATATATTTTTACTACTGAAAGTGTAATAAATGTACAGATCAATCACTGTGGAGGTGGAACGTGCCAGTGGATCTCTACAGGAAAAGATGCTCCAAGTCTCCCATGAAAGAATAGGGGCATATGACGGCAGCCCCTAGCTCTAGAGGCTGTCGTCAAAGTCTGCGGGGGCTCTCCGGATGGCAGAGGCAAAAGGCCCGGTGAATCTCCACTGCCTTTCCGTGCCCTCTGCACAGTGGCAGCTCGGTGGCCGCAAAATAGCTGGGCGAGAAATGGCTAGTCATTAACCTTTCGATATATGACCCATCTCTTCCCGTAAAATCTGATCCCAGAGACGTAAGCCCATGATGCGGATAAGAAATCTTTCTCTCCTAAGGCAAGGTGCCTGAAAAATACGAGTGGTCTGAATTTGGGTGATGAACTATAGCACTTTCAAAATTGTTTATCGAGCACACAGAGCCTTCTGTTTCTATGGGGATATTAATTCCAGTGCCACCCGCTCTCCAGCTCCAAGTCTAAGCTACAGCAGGAAGAGTGACTTATTACCTTAAAATTCCACTTACACTCCTTTCAAAGACCAACTGGTGTTAATATTTTTTATTTCTTAAACGCAGGTTTAGACCTCATCCCCAGCCTCTCTGGACTGATTACTAGTTTCTGAGCACGCTTTGCTCTTTCTTGCTTCCGGACTCCGTGTCAGGCTCAGCGCCCAGGCTAGAAGTCCCTTCTTCAACTCTGGAAGTCCTGTTTTTTCCTCCACGGCTCAGTCAGGATCCCACCTCCGCCACAAAAGCTTTTGAGGAAGAATCCCTCTTCCCTCTCCCCACCCCAGCTCCGGCTGATGCCAGCTCCGGCTGTCCCCCGAGCGCCGCCCCCAGCCCCCAGTTCCCACGTGCACAGGCGCGGTACCTTATCTACCTCTGCCTTCTCCACAGCGTCTTCCCAGAAACGACACAGTCCACCAGCCTCACTTTGCAGACAAGCAAAGAAAGCTTCCAAGAGGCCAAGTGCTTTGCTCAAGGTCACACAGCTACTTAGTGCTAGAGCCCGTCCTGAAACTCCCACCTCCTGATTCCCACCTACGTGTTATTTCCAGAAGGGAAAAGCTGGAAAGCGAAAGGCAGCTTCTAATTCGATAAATAAGGGAGCGTGTTATGTCAGAGGTTATGTCCAAAGAGATTCAGGTCAGAGTGGGTTCCAGAAACTCTCCAAAGAAAGCCCAGCTCCTCCACTTTCACGCTCAGCCACGTAAGACCAGGATGTGTTCACTGAGGTCTGAAACCCGAAGACGGATATAAAGGATGATTGGTGGGAAGGACAGTTGTTAGAGTTGGTTTCAGATAAACGAAGTTTGCAGGATTTATGACTGTCCTTCAGGAGACTAATGGATGTTTGGAAGATCTTAGAGGAGACAAAATGTATCTTGGCATTGCTTTTGCAGTTGCAGGCTTATAACTCTGAACAAATAATTCTTTACAGCACATTGTGCTACATGAAGACAGCATCATTCTCACAAGCTTAGAACTCAAACATTTAAAAACAACCTATGCTGGGCTTCACTTTCTGTGTGTGTACGTGTGCATGTGTGTGTGTGAGTACAGTGTTAATTTACACCTAAGTGTTCAGCAAAATAAATGATAAATGATTCTTACCCTTTAGAGGGTCCATTTCTGTGTCAGGGAAGGTGCTAAGTATTTGACCAGCAGCATGTAATTTGTGATTTGGACCTTACGAAGGAAGTTCCCATAGTAATAATAATGATTAGTCCCATTTTCCAGATGGAAACACTGAGGCCTAGGGAGGTTAGGGAACTTGTTCATGGTCCCACAGCTCGGAAATCATGGTGGCAAACATGGAACCCAGAGCATCTCCAGCCAGAACTTGAGAGTATATAATGTATTCCTAGAGGATGTAACTTACAAAGGACAGAATATGAAATAAAATCAACAGCAACAACAAAACTCCCACAAAATAAAGCAAAACATATTGACCTGGGATCAAGATGTTTGGGTTCAACTGTGGGCGAGTCATAAACTCTGATACCTTGGGTAAGTCATTTGCTGTCTCTGCGCCTCATCTGTGTCCCCCATCCGTTAAATGGGACAATAATTAAACTTTTTCACACGGTGGTGGTGGTGAGCATAACATGAATTAATGCATGTGAAACGCTTTATGAAAACGCAAAATAATGCAGGGTATAATTTATTGGTTTAGAAACATCACCACAGTCAGAAATAATGTACAGCATTAATACTGTTAGCAAGTAATCACAAGCCAACTCTTAGTGAGATTTTGTTCCTCTCATTTCAGTTTGCCAAGCAACCTGAAGGTAAGCCGTGGTGACTCGGGAAACGTGTCAGGGTCTCAAAGCTGGACCCACAAATGGGCTCAGGGTCTTCAGGCTACCCTCCTTCAGTTAGAACCAGAGCGTGGAGACCGGAACTCAGCACTTACTTGAGTCTCCAATCAACTCTGTAAGATCTTAATATGGAAACGAAAGACCCTCCAATGTACAGTTCTGGAAATAGGCAGCCAATCTGTACGGTGATTGACATTAAACATCTCCCGTGCAAGAAGCCCGGTATGGATCTGGTTGTTAATAAAGGACACTCTGACGCATAGATTCAAGTCCCGGCAAACACAAATCAAGGAAGTCACTGGGAAGGCAAACTAATGCGCTCTCTCTGGAGGTGTTAAGCATTCATTTCATTCCACCCCTTCCCTGACCTATTAAGCTTTATTATTGAATCTACATGGACTTGTTTGCGTTTCCATCCATAGCTAATGCTGAACATTACTCTAGGGAAAGTGGAGGATTATGAAAGATTGGGGATTTAATTATTATAGCAGCACCATTCATGCCCATTGCAGTTGAGGCGGTCTCAGCAGAAAAATGGTAATCTCTTTTCGTGAGGTTATAATTCCATAGACTGAGCACACACTGGACAGCCCCAAATGTGAACAGACCATGCTGACGTGAACGTCTGCCTACGCGTGTGGTCGTCAACAACAACAACGACTGTTCTTTCCGCTTTTCAGTTAGATGAAAACAGAACAAAGCAGCCCCTCCTTAGTGACTTCAGATGTTTGTTCCGGATCTAGTGGTTCACGAGGTCTGCCTTTGTGTGAAAACTCTGTTTTTATTTCTACGATGACTTATCATTTCTTGAGTATTAAGAAGTAAAATAGTCCATAAAAACTGTGTCAACAAAACAAAGTCCTGGTCCTAGAAAAGCTCAAATACTGAAAGTTGGGGCAGATGAGATGGAATGAACAAAAAGAAGACTGGGGAGGGCTTGGAGGAGAAAGGAGGGCCGTGTTCAGGGTCTTCTCTGTTCCTAATGCTCTGGGCCTCGAGCTGATCCTGGTGGCCTCAGAGGGCTCTTGGCACTGGGACATCCTAGGACACTACGGCGTGACAGGCCCCACATTACTAATAACTGTAACATCTGCTCTCCAGAAACATTGCTCCTTCACAGAGCGGAAAGCTCGGGTGATTTTGAAGAGGAAAAAATAGAGAGCTAGAAACATTATTCCGGAAGGTTCTATGGCAATGAAGACTTTAGTCGTGGCAGCATGAGCCTCAGAGCAAGGGCTTGAGAGCCAGACAGACCTGAGTTCAAATACTGGATTTTCTAATTTTCAGTTTTCTCACATGTTAAAATCAGTGACAATAATACCTACTTTGGAGAATTTTTGGAAGAGGCTTAGAAAAAGAAAGTCTATACAAATTGCCTAGGAGTCAATACAGGTAGCTATTGCTTTCATCTTGGTTATCATTGCTATTGTTTTTATTATTACCTGAGCAATGGTGCTGTAGAGCTTGGAACAGTTTTTTTTAAAAAGCTCTGGTGGTGACTCAAAGACTTGGCAGAGGCACCAGCTAGCAGGCATCATTGGAAGCCCCTGACCGGGCGAGGAGAGGTTCAGAGATCCTTAAGGAGTCTGGAAGGTTTCTGGGCTTGGATTTATTCTCTAGAATGTTCTAAACACATCATGGCAGTTTGGGGTTTCCTGAGATCCTCCCAGAGTGCCTAAGATCCCCTGGATATCTGAAGGCCAGTTGTAAGAGGAAACACCCAGACAGTTTCAAGCGAGAGTTTTTTAAAAAAAAAAAAGAGTGGCTCTGACGTCCTGCTCCTTATAGCTGTGGAGCGACCTGCAGATTCAGAGAAAGGGGCCAAGGAGGGGCCCCCACTGGACGCTGTGCTCACCTTGGGCACTGTCTTTGGGCCTGCCACCCTCAGGAGGCTGTTCCAAGACACACGTGACTTTAACCTTTGTATGTTAAGACTGGGCTTCGGAGGCTGTTAGTTGATACGGAATCCTTGCTCAGAAGCAACCTTCCGAGCCCTGGGTGGTTCTCCGGGCTTGCAAGCCTACACAGTGCCTTTCTGTGAATTTCAAAATGGTGCCCCTCTGGGCAGACAGCCCATCAGGTGCATTACTTATTATGGGCTGGATTCCAGCTTCCAGGTGTCAGTGGGAGTAGCTGCCATGTTGGTGGCTGATGCGCAGATGGACCACGGCTCTTACAGTTGGAAGTGCCTAGTGTGCTACTTGTCTCACCCGCCACCAGGTGCAGATACCTACTACATCCCTAAAGTATGGCCACAGCCTTTGTCTGATGCTTTTAGGCATTCATTTCTACTGTTCAGTAGCTTTAATCGTTTTGAGTTCTGCCAGTTAGGAGTTGCCCTGTGCTGTCTTGTAGCCTCCAT